CAAACATGGCCGCCACGCGGTAATAGAAATTATAGGAGTGTAAACAAAAAATTAAAAATATAGCTATTGGTATCCTCTATAACGAGTTTGCACATCTCAAGTTTGCTTCGGAAGAGCCGTCGCACTTAAATGCTACAATTATTTTATCCATATCTCACGTTTTGTATGTTCCATTTTAAAACTGCTTTCAGCGATACTTTGGCTAGTAGAAACTATATCATTTTGTCTAAATTTGCCCATTTAGCGATGTTTTCGTGCCGCCGTGCATGGTTCTTATGTTCTTGGCAACATTTGCACATCTCGGGTCATTTACAACACACACCATACTATATCCACAAAAAATTTGGGAGAGATACTCTTTGATTCACTTGTTCCATTTTTATAATGAACATTGCGAATTTTTGAAGCTGTGACAGCAAATTTTCATGGCGATAATTTTCACGGCAAAACGAAATTGCAGATAAACAAGGCCAATTTTAACAATGAATCCTTCGAGTAACTCGGCCATGTTTAGTATCAAAATAAAGCTTAGGAACCACGCTATTCGAAAATATAAACAGACGTGGCCTGTGCCTATTCCCCTGGGACAAGAAAGCGCTAGAATTTTACTTCCGGTTTTGTTAATAGCGGGATTAATTCGGGAATATGAACATGTAAAGTCTATGTCTGACGTTCTGAAAGCATTGGATTTACATAAATGTAATCAAAAGATTTCCTTTTCAACGAAAAGATGCCTTACTCATGTAAGGTATTTACATACAGCATTTATTTATCTACTGAACATTGCATAAGTTTAGTAAGTACTAAGTTATCAGTTCGGGAAAATCAAAATAATACATATATGTTATACTACACTGGCAGTGTCTGGCACCGACCGTATCTCGAGATTATATATACAATCAATGATTACAATCATGGATTTTTCTTTGCGCAATGACCCCTTTAGACCTTTAGCATCGCAAAATTATTATTTTTTTCTTTGCTCGCCGTGTCGTATAAAACCGCCGAAGAAAACAAGGACAATTGCCTATAATCGAATAAATTGATATGTTTGGGGCTTCTCGTTTCGGCCATTTTATTTTGCTATTATCATACTGATGCACATTGGGAAAGGTCGTGCGCTATCAAATTATCATGAAGAAACCCGCTGAGCAAGACAGGCGCATGTCTCGAATTTCTGGCCATCTGACTTGTAGTTGAATGCGCCTTATAGTCCTCCTATAATCTGAGCACCTTTGCTGGGAAGTTTTTAACTTTCGTTTACAAGTAAACAGTTCGTCTGACTCTTCAGCACGTTTATCTTGACTTGTGTCATTTATTATAACTTGCTCGTCATGAGGAAAGAATTGGCCTTGAGAAAGGAACACCGTCGACCTCCTTTCATCGCCAAAGGAATCTTCGACTTGGTTTTCTGCCATGGCCACGCTTTCGTCCAGAATCTTTGGCCGCTTAGTTGACTGACATACGTCTCGGAGAAGCTGCCTTTTTGCACGTTGGACTTTGGCGGCAGGAATTTGGGGTGTAGTAGGCTCAAGTGTAGCAGTTTGGGGAAAGGATTTCGAAGCAATATCATAGTCGTCGATTGTCGGTATTGTCCCGTGCGTGAGATATCTCTTGCAGGAAATACTGCTTGACGAGCGATCAGGCGCGGTTGGTATGTCAATATCCAGCCGTTGAGTAAATTCATTGCCTTGAAAATGGGCAGAACATAACGCAGAAGACGTTGTTGGATTCCAACCCGGTTTATGCCTTCTAACGAATTTCGTCCATGCAGCACGTTGTTTATCATCACGAGGAAACATATGCATCGAAATCCCTTTTGAATTACTTGAACTTTTGCACGATCTTGCGTTTGCAAAACCAGCAACGCAATACTTTCCTCCCTTTGCAGTCATGTTTGTTAACAGTACCCAAAAGCAAAAAGATTTGATGAAAATCCTGCTAAAATATGTAAATATTTCTTGAAAGAGCGTGTTTTGCATTTATGGCTGTACAACTTCCTACGTCATCACTCCGACCCTGGCTCCTTGTGTAAGTTGGGCTCGGAGCCTCGGACATTTTAATATGGACGTGTTTTGAGGGCACATTTCACCGCTTTAACGAAGTTGAAATGAAAAAAGAAGTATTTTACTGAAACGAGCAGGTTTTAAAATCCTAGAATAGTTGAAAAACTGAAAAAAAAATTACGCTTCATATGCCCTTTAATTTTTAGTCCTATCTATATACCTACGAGCTGTAAATATGATGAACTATTAAATTCAAAGTATTTTCAAAGATAAATTATTGACAGTTTTAAAGTGGCCATTCAATTTCTGTTTGGCTAGTGTCCAAATGTTTACATTGTCTCATTAATATTCTGCTCTAGGCAAAAAGTTACTTCTGAATTAATATTTTTATCAACCTTCAATAAAAAAGACGCGTACAACGTTTATTAACGTTTGCAAGCCGGCAACAAATCTAACCGGGTTTCGGGGGTTAGCAGAAACGAAACCCTGAGTCTCAGGTTGCAAATCTAAGTAAGTAAGCACGTGAACTTTATATTTAACCACGGCAGACTCATCAGGATTTACAATAAAATGGACAAGGAACATTACAAATTACAAATAACAAGATATACAAATACATTATATACCTGCTTTCCATGACTGCCGTGCATTATTAAAATAATGTAGATAGAAGTAAAAATATTAAAATTATCGAATGAAGTTGCTACAATCAGTCTTGAATTTACGTAAGGAGCTAGCCTGCCGTAATTCTGTAGGGAGAGAATTCCACAGTATGGCACCACTGTAACTAAAACTATTTTTTCAGATAGTTTGTACGCGGTTGTGGTATCGCTAGTTTGCTA